ATACGTGGACTCGAAAGTCTCAGCAAAGTCAACTTCACATATGTAAGTACTCGAAATGTTTATCGCAACTCGTTATTTCACTCGCAGCACTATGTTACAAAGTGTACCGTGGCTTCACTGATATTTATTACAATGTTATAATATTCAGTTCATAATGCAATTAACTGATTTATTTTTCTGTTTCTTCAGAATGGTAGTGCGACCATTAAAGTCCCTGCAAGATGTTCATCAAAAATGCCCGTAAGTTAGGCACATTATCACCTCCTCAGATGATAGATGCATTACGTTTGTTATGATAAATGAACTATGCCTTATCATTTTACCATTGCAGCAAAATTGTTCAGGTATGGTCATTAAAGAACTGGAGAAACTTCTCAGCAACGTGACTGTGCGAGAAGAGGACAAACACTATATACAAGAGCTTCTGAAAAACTTGGATGGTCTGCCACATCGTCACAATGATGCCAACGTAAGACAACCAGAACAACTCTTAACAAGATCTGTTTAGATCAGCTTGTTTATGTCAACATCTCCATCCAGATGACATGCAATGTAATAGCTTCTTTTTTCCTTTTCCAGAATCCCAGTTGCTGTATGAAATCTGAACACATGTCCAATCAAACCTTTCGTTTCTACAAAAGCTTCTTCAGGAAATGGAACAGAATAATCTAAACCTGATTTCGCTTACATGCAGGTCAACTTTTAACATAAAATTATGGCAACTTGGAATATATCTGAAATATAGTCTAAACTATCCAAAAACACCAAGGTACTTTCAAATAATATTAAAATCTTGAAAAGCACAACAACAGCACCTCAAGTGAAGGTAGCTTGAGTCCAGGAAGTTTTCCTTCCTAACCCTTGACGTATTAACTTTCCAAATTTCAAATGCTGAATATTTAAAAAAAGCGCTTCCATATATTTATGTATTTATTTCATCATATTTATATCTATTTATTTAAAATTTACCGTTTTGTATGCAACTGACGACCTTACCTCCCAGTGATACTGTTGTAATATTCACCATGTGAAAATAGTATAGAGAAAGGACTGCACTGCTGTCTTCAGTAAATTAACTTGTCTATACTTTATTGTCTATTTATTTATTTATTTATTCAACTAATTAGTTTGTTTAAAAGCCTTTATTTAAAACATGGTAACAGTTGACTATGTAACACTGTTTGCTGTTTTGCCTTTTCTTGTCTTTTTTTTTTTAAGCACTGAGGTCTGTGGTTTTCCTTGAACTAATAGTGAAAATTTTGTGGAATAAAGAGTTTAGAAACAAAGAGTTGTCTTTCTGAGATTTACTGCCTCCAGCTGAGAGCGTTTACGAATAGAAAATTTCTGAAAACTTTGCAGTGGCCGTCTCTTCTTTTATAAAAGGAATTATTGAGAGAAATAATACTGTGGGTGAACACTGACATGTATGCTGCAGTGTCTAGTTTGACATCATGATGCCAGAGCTGTTATAAGCCTTAAACAGTCACAACGATATAGAGGTAGTTCTAACTGGTTTGGTTTGGTTTTAACTTGACATTGTACTTTTTAATGATAACACTTAAACTAAAGATCGGCCATAGACTACCTAAAACCTGGTTGTTAATGCATCACAATGAAAGTCCAGTTTGGAGTGCATATCACACAGCATACTCATTGCCATGATATTAGTCATTGAAGTGTAAGGTCATTGTTCGAATGACAGTGTTACCTGTCAAGAAGTCTGGTAACGAAATCCAAAGAGATGTGGGACCAGGGCCACCAAGTAGCAGGTAAAGGTTTTAGGAGTGCTGCAGATGGATTGTGGGCAGTCTTATTCTGGGCACACATGGTGCACTCACCGATGTACTCCCAGAAGTCTCTAGATTAGGCCATAAGTGCCACTGCAAAAAAACGAATGGTCTGCTGGACCCCAGACAATTATGTGGACCTCCTCTGGGATCAGGTTTGTTTTTTCTGTGCAGATTGGATGAGGGTCTCGATCTCCCAGGTAAGAGACCCAATGACACATGAGGAAAGTAAGATCACTTCATCTTCCACAGGGGCATCTAGAGGAGCAAAGTGTTGTTTGTTACTGTGATCTGATTTAAACTGCGGCAATCTATGCAGGCATGGAGTGTTCTATCTTTTTTCTCTACAAAGAGTAGTGGCCAAAGGAGAAGAAGATGGCCAAATGATACCTGCTTTTGTGGAAGTATTTCTCCATTGTTGTAAAGACAACCAGTGGGGGGAGGAACACCAGGTAAGGCATCTATGGCACAGTTGTATGATCTGGGGGGAGGCAAAGAAAGAGCAAGGTCTTTGCATAAAACATTTGCATTTAAGTTTTTCAGACTGAGAGCAGATCAAGTTACTAACTAAAAAAAAGCTTCTCTGAGTGCCTTTCCTCCCAGCATCTCTCCTCAGCCAGTATCCAGAAATTCACTGAATAATCAGCCACACTAAGTTTACAGATTGAGCTGCATCAGCGCTGGTTCCCTTAACAAAAATACATTTCAATTTATTCAGTAATTCAGTAAGTTAACTCTTCTCTGGCCTGTGCCCATAATAAAGCTCTGCCTTGCTTCAGATTAGTTGCAAGCGCAATCTAATCAGAGGCATACATTCTAATGAACTGTTTATATACCAGCATAGTGTTAGAAAGCCCTAGGCCTTTACTAACTCATTCGTGAAAGGCTCTGGTGGGGATAATGCTCATTCCGGAGGCTCAGGGGGCTGTGAGGTGTCAACGGAGAGGTTGGTGAAGTGGGCAGAGAGAATGAGGGGCCCTTCTCAGGAAACAGCAGAGGTCAATGGTGTAGAAGCAGCAACGGCAGTGGTGAGAGGAACTGAAACAAGTGGATTCTGACCAAACAACAAGGAAAGGCATCCAGTCAAAATTAAAATGCCTTCTGCTGTGGTGATCCATTGGGATCATTAGTAGTACTACATCTTTAGGTATGAGTCAAACTATACACACAGTACAGTTTTTATGATCGCTATGTTTTATGTATTGTACACTATAGCAGTTACGTTCTGATGGCATCTGCATGTATAACATTTAAGATTTTACACTTTTTAAAAATTAATTAATGATTAAAAGAATTCTGGTGTAATTTATTTTGTAAAAACTCTTAATGCTATTTACTTAGCATTTCGTATTACAAAGTTGTAATAAAGGTTTATTGCTGATCAGTGAGCCAGTTCTCATGGCCAGGTCCTTAGATAATACCACTCTGTCAAAGGCTTCTGGTTTGTCACAGAAACCCACAGCCCGTACCACTGATCCTATGACGCATGCATAGGTTCAAATGTGTAGTCTCGCTTATCATATTATAATTTAAGCACAATCATTTCCAAAACCTAACCCAGTTCTTTTGGTGTAACTCAACCACTAACAAAGTGAAACCACTGATTCAACCTTTTTATAACAACTGAAATAATGATTATAGATGCATCACAGAGTACATTTTTACCATATAAACCTGGTTTAACCCTGTCAATGTTAAGCCAGTTGTTAAGCAATCAGTAAAGCTACTTTAGGCTACTCTTGCTGCAAAGAGTTGCCACATTTATTAATTAAATTTTATCTATCCTCATCTTATAATCAGTCTCATAATCCCTCTTGTAAAATAAGTGTAAGAAAAAAAATATTGCAAGTATAGATGATAAAAGACTGTAATTAAGAAGAGTGGGAAGGGATGTGTTGGAGGATAGAAGATGCAGAAAGTTCCCCACCCCCATTTAACTCGGTGAAAGGCATAGTGGGAAAAGCATGACAGAAGTGCCTCTTTTTTTAACTTCCCTTAGAGAAGTAAAAGTTAACAAGCTTGCATGGCAGGGCACAAAACACGCACGCACAGGCATGAAGTTGCACAGACAGGCATGTCTGATAAACACGCAGGGCTGTATCACACATGCACTCACACTAACACACAGGAGTGTGATAAGAGGGCTGGGGGTTTTTGGCTTCCTAAAATGGCAGTTTTTTTGTTTTGTTTTTTGCTCTTAGCCATCTTACTTATCGCTTTTGCATATTTTGTGGGTCATCACCAAGCAAAAAAAAAAAAAAAGGAACAAAACACTCTGGAGTCTTCTCACGACTTCAAAAAAAAGCTCACAACTTTAAAAAGACTTTAACCCAAGATCTCATGATTGAAAACTACATTTCCTTAGGTTCCCACAAGAGCACATCAAGATTGCGAAAAGGAGATCTACAGATGACTTCTGCTAATCTAGTCTCACACATTTTTAGTCACATCAGGTTTTCTGAAGAGTAACTTAGTGACTCATTATATTGCTAGAAAAGATAAGTAAGATAAAGAGGTTATCGTGGCACTTGTCACGTGTGGGAAATCACACAGTACAGACAGCAGCAACCTTGGAGTGGTGTCTTTGAAGTATACATGAGTTAGACGAGTAGCAGGTGCACCTTTGAACACAGAGAACCAACAGCGGAGGATGGAGTGAGAGAGAAATGTAGGCAACAGTGCACCTCAACTTGTCTATTTATTCTCTGACCCTTTCAACTCTTACCCCTGCCTGTTGTGTCTTTAATTTCCTGGCAGCCAGGCAGAGAGCCTGAGCTTCAAAAGAGATGAGAAAGGACCAAAGGAATACACTTAAAATATCCTAATCGAAATGATTTGTTTTTAAATTAACCACCCGTGAACTAATACTAATATATGGATAATCATAGATAATAGGGAAAAGAAAGGACCTCAGAATTTGATTTATCTACATCGATTTGGGGTCAGTTTAAACAAAAATGGATATACTTTAAAAGCAAATACACAACTAGCATACTTCTTTATCTTAATGTGACGAAAGAATGCAGAAAAAAAACTTATCAGGATGCTGCGCCCGCATTTCTTTTCTTTCTCCAACAGGTGGCCTCAGCGACCCAATGTACTTGAACAGACCTTGCAATGATTTTATAATCTACCTCTTCATTTGAATAAACTTCACCAGATTTAAGACTCTGGAAAATAACTACAGCAAGGCTTAACGGGGAACGGGATGCGTGATGATTTTCTCGTGAAACCTGTTGTGTCATAAAGCAGTGACCGAGATCGGTCGCCAAAGGGTCACAGTCACGCGCTTTCATTCCCATCGCACTTTCTCCTGAATGGGACAACGTCAGAGCGCCGGTGTAGAAGCGAGCCAGAGATCTTCGGGATCTGGCCGCAGATGCGCACTGTGGCTGCAGGAGGACGCAGCGAGAACGCTGAGTGACATTTGAATCCGGTGGTGTGTACTATTAAATCACAGCAACACTCAGCGAGCTGGCTTCCAGGGAGGACACAGGACTGTGCATTTATTTGTGTTTGCAGGAAATGGGGTCTGGATGCTCTTTGGAGGGACTTTACACTGGGAAGTTCGGATGGAAGCGGCGGGACGTTTGTTTTTAGATGTGGTATCAAGCTGCTGACCGCACACTTTATCTGTAAGTAAGAAGTGAATTTGGTGCTAAAACACTAAAATAGAGAAACCGCAAACACAGTTTGTATATATGTACCGTAGGAGGATGTGACTCTTGTTTTGAGTCACGTCTTAATAATTACAGCCCGCTCACGGGAAAATCCTGCTCTCACAGCTCCAGCCAGACAGTGTGTTATTCTAAATCGGATCATTGGCAATACAAATTACAGCTGTACGAGGGTTTATTGGGGCCATTGCAAAAATAATAATAATAATAATAATGATAAAGTAATAAATTTAGTGGAGGAAGATTGGAATAGTAATTAGAACACTGATTAAATAATAGTAAATAATACTTTACAATTAGATTTATGCAAATAGGTCGTTCCTTGATTCTGCCCGGATTTACCACATTATGAGAGGTATCCGAATTCTACAAATACATAACTATAACTGGAAACTATTCAAAAGGAGACTGATTTTGATGAGGTGAAATTTGGGGCATCAGTAGCTACAAAGAGATATGCAAAGGTATGATTGGTTATTATTGTCCAAACTGCGCTCTATCATGGGCCATTTAATGGTGCTTGGGGTGTGATGAGGCTGAATGAGCCCCTTCCCCCCAAAATCTTTTTACCTTTTACTTACAACAGCCCTAATATTCTTTTGCGTAATCAGCTATATTAACAATCAGAGCTATTATATAAACCACAACACAACAAACCACAAAAAAGATATATAACATTTAGAAAATCATGCATATTTATGATTACTTTTATCTTACACAATATTGAATTTTTCTAGACTAATTCATTTCTTTTAATCCCCAGGGCTACTGATGTGTTCTGTAAGCAGACAGAGGATTCCTGCGATTACATTGGGTTTGGGGCTAAAACAGAACAAGCAGAAGAGAATCAGTGACTACACCACTGCACTGAGGAATTAAGGTACAACTACCTCTCCATCAGTGCAGCTCAGATGATGTCAAATCTATTTCACAGGGTCAGAGGGCAAATGTCTGTCCCAGAGAGCATTTGCCTGAAATGTCTCATCTTTCGTCATTTATCAGACGATAAATTGATGGAGACTTTTCGCAGTAATGGAGAACAGGAGCCTCATAGAAACTAGTGGATAAAATGTAGCAAGACTCTTCAGTATGACATAAGCAAAGAACCCCCTCCTCCCCAAGCACACACTCACTTTCAGGGATGGATCCCATGAACTTTACAACTGTCATCGACAATGGGTTTTTGGATGAGGCGCCATCAAGTCGTGTCCTAACTGGCTGTTTTCTCTCGCTGCTCATCCTCACCACCTTGCTGGGAAACACTCTGGTTTGCGCGGCCGTCACCAAGTTTCGCCATCTGCGTTCTAAAGTGACCAACTTTTTTGTGATCTCGCTGGCCGTGTCCGACCTATTGGTTGCCATCTTGGTGATGCCCTGGAAAGCAGTGACGGAGATCGCCGGATTCTGGCCGTTTGGCTCTTTCTGCGATACCTGGGTAGCTTTTGACATTATGTGCTCCACGGCCTCAATTTTGAACCTTTGCGTCATAAGCCTGGACCGCTATTGGGCCATCTCCAGTCCTTTCCGCTATGAGAGGAAGATGACACCCACAGTGGCCTATATTATGATCAGTGTGGCCTGGACGCTGTCTGTCCTCATTTCCTTCATTCCAGTGCAGCTCAACTGGCATAAAGCCCAAACCAAATCTTACACTGCTCTTACTGGGTCCTCTGTTTCACTGGCATCAAACACTACATCTTACCCAGAGAACTGTGACTCAAGCCTGAATAGGACCTACGCCATCTCCACCTCTCTTATAAGCTTTTACATCCCTGTGGTCATCATGGTGGCCACCTACACACAGATTTACCGCATTGCCCACAGACAAATCAGGAGGATCTCTGCTCTAGAGCGGGCAGCCGAAAGTGCCAAAAACAGACACGACAGCATGGGCAGAGGCTCCAGCATCGCAGACTCAGAGAGCTCCTTCAGGTTGACATTCAAGAGGGAGACAAAGGTGCTGAAGACACTGTCAGTGATAATGGGGGTGTTTGTGTGTTGCTGGCTCCCATTTTTCATCCTCAACTGCATGGTGCCCTTCTGCGAGCAGTCGAGCGGAGGGGAGGCCTTCCCCTGCATCAGCCCCACCACGTTTGATGTGTTCGTGTGGTTCGGCTGGGCTAATTCCTCCCTAAACCCCATCATCTATGCCTTCAATGCGGATTTCCGGAAGGCCTTCTCCATCCTGCTGGGATGCCACAGACTGTATCCAGGAGGCCACGACATAGAGACAGCCAGTCTAAACAAGAAATGACTCACAACTCTCTCACAGCACTGACTCATCCCTTAATTCTTAAAACAGTCCAAGAGTTCCTGTTGCAGCCAGTCTGATTGACTTGAAATGCAAAGACTGCTTTCGTGCGCTAACTCTTATTTTGACTGAAGGGTACGACGACCCCACATGCATCCATGTTTGCATTAGGTGAATGGTCTGCCTTTGCGATGTCTACCATAGCGGGTGTGCTGTGCTCGCCATTGTCTCTACACTGTCTTCAGATGGGAGAAGCTCCTGATAGAGGAGAGAGGATTTGGGATTGAGATTAAAATCCACCGCTGTTGCACCAGGGATCTGGGAGAGCAGCGGTGCTGACAAGCTCTTGGGATAGATAATCCCATGACTGGGCAGCACACACCCTAATGATGTCAGACACTGCTCTCTTCTATATCATCAAACACACACACACAAACAAACACTGTCAAAACATGCTCCCCGAAATATCATGTAGCACCCAGCATGCACACTACAACAACAAATTCCATGACAGCACACAGAAACACTGTTAGTCTTTACACTGACATTTCAGGACCTGCAAAGACTCCAGCAGTAAAGCATCAAGCCAAATTATGTTGAACATATGTACAGGTAAAGTACATCCACAAGTGACTTAATATTACAGCTAGAATGAAAAGTGAATAAATTCAAGTGTAAAAGGAAATCCCTAAGAAGTGGAGACGTAAAAATGTGATCTGAATCCGTATAGGACGCAGAGATGGGGAAAAACAAGCCGACTGCCTCGTTACTGGTTGAAATGTTATTTATAAATCATCGACATTTGAAATCATTATAACTTTAAACCAAATTTACAAACTTGTGACCTCCGAAATGACACCAGTCAGCGGCAACATTAAAACCATTTGCCTAATATTGTGTAACACTTTGGGCCCTGTGGGTTGTGAGGTGGGGCAACGGTGGATTGCATCCTGGAGATGCTCAACTGAAGATCTGCTAAGTTCGGAGGCCAGGTCAGTGCCTCGGGCTCTTCTTGTGTCGAGTCATCCATGAGCAGTTTTTGCAGGGTGGAGGGGTGCCTTGACCTGCTGTATTCAGGGAATAAGTTGCCACTGGGTTGTGTTTGTTCTGCCGCTATGTTCATGTGGGTGGAATATGTCAAAGTAACATCTAGATAAGTGTTTGAGCCCAAAGTTTCCCTGCAGAGCATTCCATTTTTACCAGATAAAGAATGTTATTCATTTTACCTGTTTGTGGTTTTAATGTTGTATCAAATTGCCTGATTTTTCCAGTGCTTGAAAGTGTTTTATTGGCAGAAGACAGTATTGTACCTGCTATGGATGGGATTATTATGGGATTATGGGTTCTTTATGTGAAAACTGAAATGGGTTGGTGTAATGTTGTTTTATGTTCCTGTGAAATTGAACAGAAATACAGTGTCAACTGGTGACACACTTCCTTTGTGCAATAAATTGCATAGTGAAAGCACATCTAAATGACAATTGTGTCATTTTTTGTGACCGTTATTTACCATGGGTCTTGTTCTCACTGATTTTGTCACAGTTCTTATTGGTTTGGATGCATTACTGAATTTCTCTGTGAACTCCAACAAGGCAATGAGCACAAGATGCCAGACAATCAGCCAGCCTACAGTTTAGAGCATTAAAGCTACTGCTTTTCTGAGTTAAACCTAACAAGACGGACAATGCAAAAAAGCAACTTGTAGCACAAGAAAACCGCATGGCAGGCAACGGGACTCTCGTACAAAATATAAGTTAGAAGGAAACAGAGGAACACCATAATTTGTAAGAATTAATTAAAAACCACACAACTCTATTGGGAAATAAAAGTCCACTTATCAGCTGTTTTACTTCACTTGAAACATAAATGAATTTTGGTGTAATAAAGATGTTTTTTTAAAAACTTATTACATCACATCATTCAAGTTGCTAGTTTGACATGAAATGCATTAGACCACAGTTTAAATTATGCTTTAGACTGATTTTTACATTTATTTACTGCTGTACTTAAACTGCAAATTTAATAATATGTTTTCTATATCAAATGCATCTTTTCATTTCCACTAAAGCCCCCCAAAATAAAAAATCAGTAATCGTCAGAAGAATTTTGCTCATCAAAGATGAATAAACAAGACAAATCTTAATTATTATTATCTTTATTATTTTAGTGAGGCCACTATGTTCCCATATAATGAAGAAAAAATGGCCCATGTTTTGGAAAATTAGCTGTCTGTTCTGGTTTCCTGTCTGGAAATCTTTCATCAGTAGCAGAACCCCAGGAAGTAATGAAATAGTCCTGCACGTATTGCAATGTAATATAAACCCTTTTTATACCGCAAATCAGAATTAATTTTAGAGGTGCTGGTAAATATTCTTTTTAGCTTTGGAGAAAGTTAGCATTTGCCACTGCTTCCAATCTTTTGCTAAGTGAATTTTTCTCTTTGTGTAGGCTAAAGCTGACTTAGTTTGCTAATGAGCTTTAGCTTCTTCTTCTTCTTCTTTTTTTTGAAAATTACCTGTAGAAGTATTAGTAAACTTTGAGTTTAGCTTTGAAAAAAAAAAACTTTAAACAAAGCCAGTTAGCATTTTTACTGCTTCCAATCACTGTGCTAATAATTCTGTTTCTGTAGGCTTTAGCCACCATTGCATTCAACATTACCTTAATTTTTCAGGCCCAGGGGTTGTCGCTTGGGTGACAGGCACAAATTCATCTGACAGACATGAGTGGTGTTGACCATCAAATCTAAATCTTGGCAGAATCAATCATGACTGATAGATGTTGTGGCCAAAACTGTGAAAATAAGACCCAGCAAATATCAGAGACATAACAAGATAAAGAACATCATCATTAAGATCTACTGCTAATCTGTTAGCCAGAGTGAGAATTCATGACAAGCAAAAGCTGTAAGTGTGTTGTGAGTGAATATGCAGGTGTTATATTGGTTTTACTACTGTATACATGTTATGTTACATTCAGAAGTGTATAAAGCCATCAGAAGAAACAGCTGTGCAATGTCTGCTTGTGCATGTGGAAGCATCAGTGCACATGTTTATAAATGTATATTTGTCCATTTTCATGAAATCCACAGGGTGTGTGTGTGTGTGTGTGTGTGTGTGTGTGTGTGTGTGTGTGTGTGTGTGTGTGTGAGATAAAGAGACAGAGTGTCTGCACAGCCTTGACCTCCACACATCAAATTACCTAAAGCCAATTTCACACCAGCATCCAAAGAGCAAAACCTAATGGGATCAGCTGCGCTTCACATCTAACATTTCACTCTCACATAACCCTGGTGTTCATGTGTTTGTTCAGTCCGGTGATGTATTGCCATCATTTGTAAAGTGAAGCGCCTAATCAGAAGTTGTGAATAGCCTGGCATAATAAAGGAGTGCAACCATTGTGGCACCTCTTTATCCCCACTGTTGGCTTTGTTTCTTTATTTGATTGCATTACAACATTTCCCACTCTATCAATTTTTAAACAATACCAAACGGCTAAACAAAAACTTTGATTCCGATGCACCTTTGTCGCCGCCGTGTTTCAGTTCCTTGTTAAAAGAAGAGGATAAGGAGGATTGTAGATTTTAGTTTGCGGTGGTTCCACTGTCTGTTATGGATTTACCTGTGACAAGAACCTAATCCACTCAGATGCTTCAATGGGGAGTATGAGGGAAATTGAAGTAGTTGAAGTGTGAAAAGACAGCAGAGCAACGACAAGGACGAAATAAATTATATTTGGCAAGACCCAGTTACACACTCTGTTCCACATTAGCCTGCTGCGTCGTCTGAAAAGATAAATCACACTCAAAGATGGTTTGACATGAAGTTCATGTTCGGTAATGTTAATGAATATCTCTGTAGATGCGTCGTAAAAATCAGAACTTGATTAATTTTTCTGTAGAACTGTTGCTTCGTCTTGCAGGTCAAGCATTTTAAAATAATTACGGGGCAATAAATCCCTCTCAATAAGCAGCAAGTCTAAGAAGTGACATCGTTCAGTTGAATTAAGTTAATGCTCATTATAAATATGTAAAAAACTATATACTGTGAGAGAAACTCTTCCTCTCATGGGCTAACACACAGACACACACGCACGCAGAGCTGTCCTTTAAAGGCCGCTTTCTCTTGGCTCTGGACTGTCCTTGCCTCTAAGAAACCTCCTCAAGCGTGCCACGAGAAGGGAACAGCAATTAATTTGAGTGACATCATTCAGAGTGATGGCTGAGGTGGCAACAAGACAGTGTGTTTGTGTGTGTGTGTGTGTGTGTGCGAGGGAATGTGTCTCTGTGATGCAGTGCTACAACTGCTAGCTCCAGTGCCCAACCCAGAGTCCTTGCAATGTCATGTGCACTCGGCGAACACAGAAAATTTCTGTTTGCTACCCTTTCTTTCCCTCCTGTGGAACTTGTGATATTCTCAGAGCAATCCTGCCTTTTTGGATTGGCACTTCAGAAAATGGATGTTAGATGTGGTAACTTTAGATGATGCTAATGACTGGCCTTAGGGAAATGATTTACTGAGACAGAGAGCGAGAGAAAAAAGGGACAAGGAGACAGACAGTCTTATGTAAGAATCAAGCAATGGCAACTTAAAAAAAAGAGACACAGCGGATGCTGTGTAAATATCACATAACCCACCAGAAAGTGTCATCAGTCTGACTGCCGTCACATATATAATGAAGGATCCTGTAGTCACATACTGTTTGCTTCAAGAAAGATACACCTGGTGGATTTTTAATGTCATTAATGATTCCTCTGTCACCTCCCCTCCTCAGGGGAGGTGATGGAGAATTAAAATGCTATTAAACAGTTTGCCATAATCTGTATCACTCTCCATTAAATATGTATTATTCAAAACTGTCAGAGCTCTTATAATTGCACTAGAGCCTAATGCATTTTTAATACCTCGCACAACACCAGGATAAGCATAATTGAGAGCGAATGTGTTGGTGGCTGCAGCCAAAGTGCATCAACACAGTTACATGCTGAAAGTCATGAATACACTTTGCATGTTAAAAAACGCTTTTTAACTTTTTTTTTGTCTGCGTCTGGTCTCGCTGGTGAAATCACCAATGTTCTATGATGATTTTCGATTAGTTTGAGGTGAAAGAGCATCAGCACAATCACAACACACACCCAGCCACTCAAATTCTCTTTGTGTCGGGGTCGATGGAGGCTCTCTTTGCAAATGGCACAGCAGATTCAAAAAGCTTGTCTGATTTTGGCAAAAGGCTGCTCTTCAAAAATAGATACATAAGCTTAAGCCAAAGGTTGCCCTGCAAATCTTTTGACCTTTAGTGCCCGTTCTTTGCGGCAAGCCTTTCATTCATCTTTCTGATTTTGCTCTTGCTCACCATTTCTCTTTCTTATCACACTCCTCCGCTCTCTTCCTCCACCCTCGCACTGTTTACTGTTCGTGCTACAAACCCGCTGGCATTACTGCGTTACCATTCGTCACTCTAACTGGCTCCAGTGGAAAGGACATGCCCTCTGACCCCACCACTGGGAAAGGACCAAGGGAACGAAGAGAAAGGAATGCTCACACAGAGAACTTCAAAGAGATAAGAGAAAAAATATTTATGCGAGGGAGGGGTGCACAATAAAAGACTGGTTTAATTTTAGCAAACAACCAGCTTACCAAGAGTTTGGTCTACTAGTTTGGTTAAACATAGTACAGTATACTTTTGCACAATACTGTACAAAAGCCTCAAGCTGTGTATTCTTTATATTTTTATAATTATATTTCGCAATTTATAAAAAAAACATGTAAACATAAATCAAACAGTATATAAGGCCAAAACAGGCTTTTTACAATTCCAACAATATTTGATATGACCATGTTTAATTCTTCAGTACAGCCTTAACTCTCTTTGGGAAGCTTTCTTCTAATCTCTTTTTAAGTAAAATTCAGGAATAGTTCTCTAGCCTTCTTGAAAGACATTCAGACCTCTTCTTTGGATATCTGCTGCCTTTTGTTCTGTTCCCTGTCAAGATATTGTTGTAATATGACTTCACCTCAAGCTACACTACATGAGCCCTTTCTCCCTTTCTTAAGAATGGCTTCTTGACAGACTCCTTTCCACTGAGACCATTTCTGCTGAGACTTCAATGAACAGTAGATGGATCCGCTGAAGGGCCAGTTGCATCTCTCTGGTCCTGTGTCGGGTCTTTGGTGGAGTTTTTCCTATTTCTTAAGCCCTTTCCACACCAAACATGTAGACACAACACTGGTTCATATATATATATATATATTAGCTGTATAATACCAGTTGGCCAGCTCTAATAGTAATTTGGTATGGCTTTGCGGGCCAAATGTAATTAGGCTGCGGGCCAGAGTTTGACACCTATGAAGTAGATCAACAAAAAAAATATCCTAAGGTACAAAGACAGGTCTGAAAATGAGTGAAAATTTACAATTACCCAAGGCAAAGAAATGTGTTGCGTCACGAATGGCAGAAAATTTTAAACAGACCACAGTGGAGGACAAAGTGAGTAAAATCTGGCAGATGGCAAATAAAGGTTGTGTTTATGTGGCTCAGGACCATGTTCATGCTGTTTGCACCATAGAATGTTACACTAGGACACTTCGTGACTTTCTTACCCTGGTCGATGAATTCACACACACAAAAAAAGCCTAAAAACTTGCAAAAGCAAGTTTGGTTGTTTTTGTTTGTTTGCTTGAAATATATTTCAAGCAAACAAACAAAATATTGGTGTGCACAAATATGCTGTCAAGTATCACAAAGAAACTGAACATGAGTACTTAGAAGTCCTGCTGATTTCCTGCTGCTCATGTATGTCTGAGTAGTGATGTGCAGAACAATGTTAAGTATGTAAAAGTGTGGAATTCTCCGTTTCTGTATCCCATCTGAGCTCATTCTAAAACCTAGCCAGAGATTAGTTGATGCTGCTGATGGTGAAGAGGTGTATACTTTAGGTAATCCAGATTCTAGTAAAATGCTTTCCGCAAAATGCCATCACCACGGCTTTGTAGTCGCATCATTCACATATAAATCTGTGATGTCAAAGCAAGTTTTAAGATATTAAACTGTCAGATAACAGAAGAAAATAGTCATACTCATTTCTTTCTCTATTTGGCTTCTTTCTAGCAATCTCTCTTCAGGCCTTAGTAAATAAAAGGAGTGCAAACACTCTTACCATTTAATTTTCATATTTTTCAAAAGTGCATGAGAGCAGCACAAGCATGACTCAGCACATGCAGTCATCAGCTCCAAAGCTCTCACATTCAGCACTGCTCACTGTTTAGCTCATTTAGGCCAGACAAACAGCAGCCATTATTTTAAGCCCATGAAGCAGGGCAACTATCTCCCAGTTCCCAGTAGATTTGGCAGTAATCACTCTGTTGCTCTGTGTCTGGCAGCTCATTCAGCTGATGATGTTTTTTAAAAAGACATCTTCTCCCGCACAAGCTAGCTGATTAGCATTAGCATCACCACAATTCACCTCTGGGGCATCCTACCAGCAAGGACATCAACATTAGCATCATTAATAGCATTTTCTCCACTTAGAGCTGTCTCTGCCAGACAGCACCTCTTCTCTCCCCAACTAAGCTGCAGAGCGTGGCTGGAGTGGACAACATCCCTGCTGAGAACACTGTTCACCCTCCAAACTCATTTGCACCCAGCTTATTATTCAGTGTATAATTTGATTAGCTTCCACTGCTTTGGCTTGTTACTCATTTAATATGCTTCAGCGATGTTTCCTTCTCCACCTCAATGACAGTTTGTGATATGCTACCAAGGCAATATAAGCCGTTTTTTAGCCAACATTAAATCTGCTTTCTATAGTGGATTGGGTCAGGACAAATCAGGTCAGTTTATTTTTTTAGCTCATGTCCCCTGGAGGTCACTCCATGAGACAAAATGACCAACCACTGGTTTGTGAAGTTCCGATCTGGAACCTCAATGTTAGCAACATGGCTGCATTTGCGCTGCCTTGCTAACACCA